TGTCTGTGTTTTTGTCTACTAGATGTGCTGCAGTGGAAGTTTTAAATTTGAATGTGAATAGCTAACTGAGGTGTTTTTTATTGAAATATATATCTTCTTACTATTTAATAGTAGGATAGTTTTAAAGAGATTGGAGAGTTTGTTTCAACTTCATGTTTAAACTCATGTTTGAATGCTCCTTGAATTTATCTGTGTATGTCTTAATGCACATAGATACCAAGGCATGGATTTGGGAACAAAAATATATGCTTAAGGAAGGTAACTGTGACACCTTCATAGATAACAGCAAATAATTAAATGAGTAGGAGCTACTGGGATTATGCCGGAAAAGTAAATAAAGCCCTTGGAGAATACGACTCTTGGAAGAACATTGCCCCCATACATGTATTTTTTCAGGAAGGACAGAGGTCAGTATATGAACACATTAATGAAATGACATGCATGTGTTTGGAACTTTGGTTCTCTTCACCAACACTGAAAAGATGGCTAGTTGGCAGTAAGTAATACATCATGAGTAGAAAATGTGAAAACTGTGCCTTGTATGGAGAATACTGAGAAATTAAAAATGTCTCGTTTAATTTCTTCAGAGAATTAGGAAGGTTTTGATATGATCTCTTTTTTTCCTAATGATGTTGAATGTCATCCTGATTCAGATGAAGTACCCAGCTGGTAAATGCTCTGGATTGCCTGAAGGAGCCTGCCTCTCTGCCTTGATTTTACTCAAGGGAAAAGATCAAATTAATCCCTGTAAGAACTGTATCTTACAAGCACAAACTTAAAAAAAAATTCCCATATGCATGGAAGTGGTTTCTAACAGCAGGCAGTCCTTGAACTCCCACAGAAATTGTCAGAACAGATAGGAAGTTAAGCACTGCCCAGTTCAAGTAGCTTCACTTTTAAAACATATGTAGCAGATATATGTTTTGAACCAAAGTATCATGGGGGTTTTTGAACTTTAAACTCATTAAATCAGGAACACCACCCCTCCCATCCCTAAAATAAAATATAAAATTAAAAGAAAGAAATTATCAAGACTACATCATGCACTTATTTTCATTACATTACACAGTGGTCTAGATTAAATCATCTAGCAGAGTGGTTACGTAAAAAGTTGTAACAGAAGATCATAGCATTTGTTTTTTGCCTTCAAATCTATGGATTGATGAATCTACCTGTAAGGGATGAGCAAAACCCTGTTAGAAAAATCTTCAGAGTATTTTTGTTTTAAAGAAATAGTACTAATAGCAGAAATATTTATATAATCACTGTAAAACTTCAGCAAATCTCTTACAGGTCCTGAATAAACATACATCAGGAGTATGAAATAACTTAGAAGTGCGTTGGGGAAAAAAGACAAAACAAACAAACAAAGAAACAAAAAACAAAACAAAATGAAAAGTAACAAAACAAAACCACAGAAACCCACAGAAGAACCAGAGCACTGTATGGAAATTCAGTGAAATCAGAAATACCTACAATTGAATAAAACCCATCATAGAAATTTTCAGAAGTCATGTAGGGGGTTACCTCCACAGGCTGCTGTAATAAGCTTCTCCCTCTCCTCCAATACTCCCTATGTTCTCCCTGCTTTTTTCTTTAAAATTTCTGCCTTTGCTTTGTAGTTGCTGTATTACCTCCTGTCTGGTGAAAACTCAGTTACCCTACTGCTCTTTATTGCCCAAAATAACAACAATCTTCTGCTTATTGCATAATTTTTTTTTTTTTTCCATTTGTGCTCCTTTCTAGATTATTCTTCTTAAATGCATAGTTTCTTCTAGTGTAACTGATGTTTATTTTTGGGATTTTGATAAGTGAAAAGAGAAGTATTGTTTTTCCCTTTGTAACGATGATGAAAATAATAGTGAAGTAAAACATTATCTAAGAAGTATCGTACAGCAAAAGGTACTGTAAACATTCAATAATATACTTTTATTTAAGCATCTATGGGTATATGCAAATTTGTGTGCACTCCAGAAAAGGATGTTGAATTAGAGTGATTAATTGGAGTAATGTACAATAAATGTCTGTCTTTTATCTTCATGCTACATTTATAGTTCTCACAAAGGCAGCATTTAGGGATTTAACTTGCCATTTCACATCACCCCAAAACTGCATTTGTTTCTGAGAAATTAATTTGATGTTGAGTGCAGAAGCTGAATGCAGATCTACGTGCATAGTTGTGCTGATCCTTACTGTGAAGTATAACAGAGAGAGTAGGAATAGGGGATGGCTGTAAAGATTCCTGTGCTTAGAAAAGTATCAGGTCCTGCTCTTAATTTGATGAGTTATTTTGCTGTGGCCTTTTGGGGACTGTATGTGGCTCTACATCTCAGTGGTCAGCTATATCTTATTGGGGATCTGTGCAGTGTTCTTACACTGTACCTAGGATCATAAATAGAATTAGCCCTGCTGTCTGTCTGAGATGTGAACAGTGATCAGGGAAGCTCTAAGTTGGTATTGTGAGTTTTCATTTTTCTTCCTTGCAGACAAAATTGCAGTAAGATTGAAGGCTGGCTGAGTTGCCAGTACTGTCCATCACAGTTCAGGTCAGCCTCTACAGTTCAGACACAGTGAACTTACTTATTATGAATGTCTTCTACATCCAAATATGTCACTGGGAAGTGAACATACTCTGGTATGTTCACATTACCTCCCAGTCTTTTCCTGACATCAGCATGTGTTCTGCTAATCTCAATTGTTTTGTGGCTTGATGGTGTCTATGAGACAAGTGGAACATGGGGTTTGATGCAGTTTTGCTTTGGGATTGCTTTGGGATTCTGTTGCCTTGTGTAATTGGGCTAGTAGGACTACTGGTGGCAGCAGATACATTCCTTGAGGACAACAGGGTTTTTGAGGGACTTGCATAGGCTGGGAACAGGCTGAGAGCAGCTGCTGGCTTGCTTTAGCTCACTTGTACTCATCAAGAAATTTGTATGCATAAGGGACATACAGAAGGGCCGTTAATTTTGAAGATTTATTTGCTTTCTTCTATATATAAAACTTCACTGAGGTCCTCTGTGCTGTACTATGCATTCTGTGTGTATGCATTACAGAATCATAGGAATGGATATGTATGCCTGTTATTAAAAAGAAATGAACTATCTGCATGTTCTCCTTTTTTAGGTAGGTGTTCTTTAATGCAGTCAGATAATCAAAAACCTCCAAGGTGATTTGTTGGTATTGGTTGATAGATAGCACAGCATTTTCTAGAGCTGAGCTATTAAAAAAGGGCATGATGATCAATGTATACTGTGATGTGAATATAGTATGTGCAAGTACACAAGAAACACAAACATTTTTATTAAAGGATTACAATGAAAATATACAGATTGTGTAACAACTTGATACTTTCTCCGCAGCGAACATCCATGTCTTTTGATAAACAAACAGAGCATTTAACTTATTTTTGCTAATGTTCTACTAATAAAATTTGCTTCCTCATATCCTCAGACCATTATGCCTACAATACAACATTAGTCCTACTAAAGATATTTGCAGTCAGGTTGCTCAATTAATTATTGGACTGTAGAAGCCTAAAATATCTTTTCAAATTTTAGGCTGTTAGCAAATCAAGGGATTTTACCCATGAGCTTTGTTACGTTCCTAGTACAGAAATGATGTTTTCAGCTCATTATGCAAATTCTGTAACAGCTAAGGTACTTCAAACTAGACATTAAACTATGACCTTAGTTTTCTTCTTGATTTACTGCTGAAGGCTTTTGCAATACTTGTTCACTGTATTTCAGCTTGTTGTATGTTAGCATGATAGATGTTCAGATCTTGCTAGAATCAGTGCTGTTGGACAGCTCTACTTAACTTGCATTTCTTCTTTAGTTTATGTTCTTCTTGTTAGTTCAATAATACTGCTGTGTAGTGCAAAATAACACATCCAATTTTTTTTCAAGTTCCTATCCCATGCTTTTTTATAAGTTAGATGATGACAGATCTGGTTTAAACTTTAATGATGACCATGAGGAAATCTTGCTAGACTAATACAAAATTAAATATGGAATCTCTATGACAGCATGGCAAAATTTTCAACAGAAAATGGAAAAAAGGCACTTCTGCTATGAGTAGTTTCATATTATGCTGATATACATATTTAGCCACATCACACTCATGAAACAAGAATAGTATTACTTCAATTTACAACACACAAGGATTTGGCTTTCAGTCTTTATTACATAGTCCAAGGCAGAGACAAATGATTTTCCACTAAAAGTATATTCAGTTACACAGATTTTAACAGTGAAAGTAAGAAATAAATAAGAAATAAAATGAAGAAAACCCTGTTCCATAGAACTGTATTTTAGAGTACACTTTAGTATACTGTCCCCCCCTCCCCCCCCACTTAACTACTGATGGTTTATTTATAAGCAAGTAACAAACAATGGCTAGAAAATACTATTGCACCACAAGTTATCTACACTGATATCTCTATTTTTCATACTAAAACCTAGACAGGATGACATTTACTAGGATGATATTTACTCCAGTATGATGTTTCTTTCATAAATCTTCATGTGTTTTACTAACTAACACAAAATGGAAATGCAGACTGTATTAAGTTAGTTAGAAAAACAAACATATGTGTTTGGTTAAGAAAAAAAATATTTCTATCAAAATGTAACTTTTTTTTTTTTTTTTTTAAAGCAGCTCTGATGTGCTAACTCTTCCAAACACTTCACACAGGGACTGTTGTTGACTTCCAAGTTTGAGATATTGCTGACAGGGCAGTAGAAATTTGGGAATCTAAAGAGAATTCATTGGTTGCCTGTGCCAGCTCTGACAAGCTTATAGTTGTACATCTATTTGCACTGGAGTTTACAATAACAGAGTCAATGCTTTTTTGGGGATAATTCTACCAATAACAGCATGGGATACTGACATTTACTCTATTAGGTGAACTGATACCTCATCGTTTTGATTGTAAAAGTCTAGTTCTTATGTGAGAAGTAGAAGAGAATGGTGTTGCTTGGAGGTTTTTTTTCTGTAAATGATCACTGAAGGAAATATTTTCCCTTTGAAGTTATTGAACATGCAATCTTTATAAGTGAAGAACTCTTGAATTTCCAACGTGTTGTTCTAGATGATCCTGTGAGACTTTGGCACACAAACAGCCCACACAGAAAACACCTCTACAAAAAAAACTTATATGCAAATCAAGTACCCAACTTCATTTCCCATTATTTCCTGTCCTTAAAAGCTTGACAACTTTTTTTTTCAAAAGTTGTCTGTCTCTTGAACTTTTGTTTCCAACCTGTTTAACGCCATTGTAACTTGCCAGAGCATATCAGATAGCTTTGCTTTTAGACTAACAGATGTATTCCTGGTTAATGACTGTTTTGAACAGTGGAGCTTGGAAAGCCCCCATACCTCTTGGCTCTGCTTGCCACTGAGTTTCATGCTTCTGTTATGAGCAATGTAGAAGTGCTGCAGAAGCAATTTTTGACAGATTGGAAAAGCAGGCACTTTCCTCTATATTTATTCTTTTATCATTGTTTTTATTTCTTTTTTGAGGGAAAGCGTATCCTATGCCTTCCCATAGTGGACTGCACAGAAACACTGGTTTGTAATTGCTTTGAGAGCTATACTGCAGCAGACCCTGTCACGGCAGTGGGGTGGTTTCAGCTTCTTGGAGTTCCAACTGAAAGGAAAGAAATTGCAAATACAATGAGCAATTACTTGATTTATACCTCCAACCCCCCACCAGTTTGTGTTTACAGTGTGTGTTTTTTAAAGAGGTATTTACATCTCATTTGCAGCTTTATCCTGCCCTATAAAGCTGAGCTGGTAGCCCAGGCAGCAGGGTGAGGATGAGTTTTTGTCATAATACAACAAGGAAGAGAGAATGGTAAAAGAAAAAATTTGTGTCTGACCTTTAACGACACAGAAACAAATCTTCAGTGCTGTCACGTTTGCACGAGAGTCTGTTTCATAGCTGTTTTCCTTCTAGATGGGAACCCTCTGTGAGTTTCACTTGTAAAAAAGGATTTAACTCACTCCCTGTATTCTTTTGTAGCAATTGCAGATGCTGGTATTTTAGATGCTATGTTAGCATGCTTTCTCTGTTCACATCAGTATATTGGCTAACTCCTGGATTTGAATTTAAAAATCCAGTTTACATTCTGTGTGAGATGGTGTTACATCAGGAATTAATCACAACTGTCTGTCCCTCTGCCCTGGATGCCCATAGTATCCATGCTTATTCATGTACGGGCATGATATCAATACAGAAATTTTCACCAAGAATATCTGCTTACTATACATCACATCCTGAAAACCTGCAACCCTTTTTACTGCTCAGCAATCAGAAATTGTCAAAAATAGGGAGATATTGTAAGGTGTTTATTTATGGAAAGCAGAGTCACAGATGAACTGTGAAGAGAGGGCCACGTGTTGCATCTGTTTAGGGATTTTGGAGTGAGGAGAAAGTTTATTTTCTAACTGCTCTGTTTTCCAGGCAGTTTCAGAAGTGACATCTGTTAGAAATACTAATTGGAGATATATTTATCCAAAGCCAAAACATAACTTAAATGCTTGTTTAATTCAGCATAATATATTTAGGGGCTTTCTTTATTCTACATTGAGAAAGTTCCTTTTCATCAACTTTTTATTAGAAAATGACTTGATTTTGAATCCGAATATCTGTCTTTTGGAGAAGTCCAGATCCAGAACTGAATTATAAATTTAATTTCACTTCTCAGTTGAATCACCTGCTGGAAAGGAATTACCTGCTGGAGAGGAACTCTGCATTGAAAGTCCTATGTGTCTTGATAGACAACAGGTTGGCCATAAGCCAGCAGTGTGACCTTATGACCAAGAAGCCCAGAGATACCCTGGGCCAATGGGGTGCAAAAGTGTAGCCAGCAGGTTGAGGGAGATGATCCTACCCCTCTTCTGTTCCCTGGTGAGGCCATACCTGGAGTACTGTGTCCACTTCTGGGCTCTTCAGTTCAAGAAAAACAGGGATTATCTAAAGAGAGTCCAACAGAGGGGCCTGGAAAGCTTCCCTTATGAGGAAAGGCTAAGAAGCCGGGACTGTTCAGTCTGGAAAGGCTCTGAGATGAGCTCTGATAAATGCTTATAAATATCTAGTGGGCAGGAGTCAAGTGGATGGGGCTGGACTCTTTTAATTGCCCAGTGACAGGACAAGGGGCAAAGGGCAAAAACTGGAACAAAGGAAGATTCATATGAACATGAGGAAGAAGTTATTTACTGTGATGGTGATAGAGTACTGGAACAGGTTGTCCAGAGATGTTGTGGAGTCTCCTTGGAGACATTCAAAACGTTCTTGGATGGTTTCCTTTGTGACTCTGCTTTAGCAGGGGGCTGGAGAACTAGGTGATGTCCAGTGATGCCTTCCAACCACTACAATTCTGTGATACTGTAATAGAATATTCAGCTCTTATGGAAAAAAATGAAATGTTCTGCTGTCCATTTATTCTGACTTTCAGTTTAAGGAATGCATCACAAAAATATGCAGCTTTAGGATTGATTTAATTGGTTTCAGTCCTCATAGCATTGTTTATGCTTGTAAACTCCTTTAATTAAATTGTGTGGAAAACATTCTGTTTTCTCTGCTACGTAGAAGATTTATAAGGGTCCCATGCCAGTGCAACTCAGACACAAAAGGATGAATCTGCTAAATTAATACAAGCTTGTAGAATTCTTGACAGAAATAGTTTTTATAAGAAATCAATGTTTTATCATTGAGCACCATATTACATGCAATGGACATATGCCAACTTTCTAATAACACATAGAAAGGTTCCTCTTCATTAAAACAAGTAGACGCGAAACCTGAAAAAAATTGAAGTTATAGAATCTGTACAGCTTGTATCAGGTTTCTGCACATGACTCACCAGTACTCCCCGTATTTGTTTGTAAGCTGTCACAGAATATTAGGAAAACTAACCTGTAAGAGAATCCTTTTTTTTTTTTTTCAGTTAAACCAGTTTTAATTTTTTTTCTTGTTTCAACCTAGAAATAGTTTTTCTTTACTCCAATATCCTTTGTATTTCTATATCTAAATGCTTGACTAGCCACCAGTCTTTTCTCCCTCACGAACAAGTTGCTCCACTGAGCATGTACAATTTTCATAAATGCTCATACCATCAGTGCTGTTTCTGGGGGATGTCAGAACTTGTTTTGTACTTTCCCTAAATGCTGATAAAACAGTAATGAAATTCTGAATGCAGAAAAATCTTTCAGCAATCTCAAAGACCCATGAAATAAGCCAAAGGAAAATATCTAAACTCAGAGTAATATGAACGTTTGCGTTTGCTGTTCCTGCTTTTGCACTGATAGAAAACACAACTATTATTTCCACAAGTGAATGGTTATTTAAAGTGCTTTAAGAGTGTGAGGCCCCAAGCTGTTCTGCAATTGAGTGTCTGCAATTCTCATTACCTTTAGCAGGAGTAAGAATTCTCACTTGGCAAAAAAAGCAGCTTGCAGAACATCTGTTTCTTTGAAAATAACGTGAACTGTGTCCACAACTATACAGTTGTGCAAATAGAATTCATAGCAAATGCTCTCCAAGGCCTTATATATACAAGAGAGAGCTTGTCAGTATACTTAGATCAATACAGATATGCTGGCTAGGCTTGCCCATACAGAAAGCACTTACCTGTGAAAAGAATGTCCTGTCAATAGAATTTACAGAAGCTCACCAACTGTTTGAGCAAAGTGCTTTTTTACATTTTCTGAGAGAAAAAGCTGCATTCACCCTAGGGCTTTTTCTGTCTAAAATAAATAAATACAAATTACATTTGTCAGCACTACTCAGAGAAGCTCCTCATAATAGAAGTTCTACAACCTTTCTGTCATTTTGATGATAAGAGACACCAAAAATTTTGTCTCTTATGGAAAAGTTCATCGTGGAAGAAAATATAAAAATGAAGATTTATATTCAGCTGTGAACATGGCTTGCTGTGCATGTATTCCATTGCCTCTGTGGAGGATGAAAAATATTGCTGCTGCTAGCTGGTGTGCTGCGCCCAGGGAGTGCCACAGTAAGAAGATTCAGGTCCGATCTGGAGAGTGTGTGTGGCAGAAAGAAACCAGTGGCAGCATCTGCCAAAGCAAGGACTGCTGGGTGGTAGTGAGAGAAATGATTGGACCCATTTGTGGCCACTTCAAATTCTTTCAAATACCAGACTATGCAAATAAGTCTATGAGGACAGGAGTCTCCAAGTAAGTCTTATTCTTCGTGGCCTCAGGGAAACCTGCTAGTAAGTTGCTAGGAAGAGTTACAGAGGCAGTGAAAGCTGGGAAGTCACATAGTTTCTTACACTTGCGAACACACTTTTGTTACATGTACATAATCTCTTTGCTTCAGTTTCCTTCCTCTCTGCCTCTGATGTTATTCCTGATGTTCCCCTCTCTCTTTTGCATTCTTCTGGTCAGCTCCATTTCCCTTCAGCACCTTCCTTTTCACTTCTCTTCAGTATGTTTTATCTCTTCTTAACTAATTCCACTGTTACTCACTGATGCTAACAAGTAAAACCAATCAGCCAAAATTCCAACTGTGTGATTAGCTTGCTTCTTACTGCCATTAAAAAGTTAACTTCTGTCCCTACCTCAGGTGTCACCCTTCCTTGATGTAGATTGTAATATTTTTCTGGGAAGGATCATCTTCTGTTCTGTGTTTGCTCTGCGCACACCAAAACAGGCTTTATTTTAATTAGCCTTTGCCAGTACCATAATAATTTTTGGTAAGGGTAGAAATTTAGAAGGTTACAGCTCTTCTAAAATTTATAAAAAGATTTATAAGTAAATGTTGAAGATATATGCCTCTAAGCTACACTGTAGAATGATGGACACTTACTAGGTAAAGACTGAATTCTGTTGTCAGACGTGCACAAAATTGACTCCACTGAGGATCACATATGCACTGTTGAGAGCTGAACCTATCAAATAAACTTTTGCTTCATATAATGAATACTATGTACATACATACATACATGTATTGGTTCATGACACGTTTGGCCATACTGCTCTACCACTGAAGTGTGGGTAAGACTGATAACACAATCACAGCTTTCCCTTGTGAAATCACTCCCATTTCCAAATGAGAACCTGTTCTGTGTGAGAAAAAGCAAGAATCTGAAACTGGATCAGTTCTTTGGACAATGAAGGTGAAGTCTTAATATTTTCTGTCAAAGACCAAGCAGGTGCTAACTGACTTCACAGGCCACAGCCTACCATGTACGAATCACGTGCTTGTGAATGACATCAACAACTGCAAATGCTTAATACACCTTATTCTTCTCCCTACAGCCTGCTACTTCCTCTTTTCTGGTGTAATTACTACTGCTGCACCTCAAAAAGGTGCTTAGTTTGTGGCTGAAAGGGCAACCAAGAAGCTCATGTAGGAGCAACTGATGTATACTGCTGATGTTCCAAAAAAAAGGTGATGTGGCAAGGAATGAACTAGTCTTGTGCCTTTCCTCTCTTCAGTGAATTCCAAAGAAGATTGAAACCCTTTCTAATACATGCTTTGCTAGAATGCTACAATTTGCTTTTATGTTTTGCTTGATGTTCACTGAGGAATGTGGTTTGGCAACTTGGGAATTATCACAGGACCATGGATGTTAAATATGTAACAAAAAAACTTTTTTGCAAAAGCTAAGAAAATACAGTTTGAATTAAAATGAGATTTTTGATATTTTTCTCTTGGTATCTGCTGTGCTACAAAATTTCTACTCCTCAAAGGCTTTTTCTACATAGAAAAGGAGTGCTCTGTACACCTTAAATGGCAAAATGGTACAACACTCCTTAACATGAAAGCGTATTTTTATATATATATATATATATAAAAACCCACACTAGTCAACATAGATGATGATCTAGCACAAGAACTGCATGCAGAAGACTTTTGTCTACTTTTTACATCTTTCCAGCAGAAACAGGGCTTGTATGCCTTCCTTCCATCCAATCAAAAAGTGTATATGCACAGCTTTTTCTCTTTTCAATTCACTGATAAAACAGCAGGAGAGAGACGTAGCCATCTTATAGGAGAAAACAAGGAGTATGAATAGAGAAATCTGTTCAAAACATTCACCTATTGTAAACATTTTGCAAATGAAACACTCTGTTTTGGATGCTGCGTGTACCCATGCACACTGGACCCAACCACGCAAGGTACCTTTGAAAGCAAAGTGCTCAGCTTCTGGGCATCAACTAGACTAGAAAGGACACAGTGCATGATTGGGGACTCTGTGTATGAATACACTGGCTTCAAATGTAGCCTCTAAGGTGGTCAGACCTTTAAACAGCTACAAATCAGTATAAACCGTAACTTCAGAATACATGTCATCTCCAAGCGGGAGGCCCGGATCCAGAGATGACATTTCCACTGCTAGTCATACCTGATGGTTAGTCCTGTCCACAGTGTTGGCAGTGGAAGCATGGTCACGAGTATTTTGTCGGACCCTTGTGGAGTTTTGCTGCTCAATGGTTGAGGAGGTGGGGATGCAGAACTCTCTGAAACACCTTTTGAAATTCTCATCTAGAAATGCATACAGGACTGGATTGAGGCAGCTATTTATATACCCTAGAGCAATACAAAAGTGCCAGGACACAGTCTGGAAAGTAGTTTCTGGGATGTTGACCAGGGCTTTAATGATGACATAAATATGGATAGGAGTCCAGCAGATGATGAACACTGCCACCACTACAAGAACCATCCTTGTGATCCTCCGCAGGTTCCTGTCCTTCTCTTTAGAGCCAGATAACATGCGGACACTCTTGAGGCGTAAAATCATCAGCCCATAGCACACAGTAATGATCAGGACTGGCATGATGAAGGCAAAGATGAACACACAAATTTTCAGTAGGTTTTCCCAGTACCAAGCAGGGTGAGAGAATGTAAGCGTGCAGTCAATAGATCCTAGGGAAAGAAGAAAACAGCAGAGAACAAGACAGTCAGTTTTATATTTGCTTTCCTTTAAATATATATATATATTAAATACTGTAAGCAAATAGATTTTTGTTATGTAAATAACTAAAACAAAACAATTTGATATCTGTCATTGGGACAAAGAGCGATAGGACACAGTGTTGCAAAACATGCGGGAAGCTTCAGTTAGAAAAAAAACCAAAAAGTAACATGTTCTCCTCTGCATTACATCACTTGGAATTCTGTGTAGAATTTCAGAAGAAAAAGAGCTGAATTGTCATAAATGTCTAAACTTTGGCTTGCTTCTGATATAAAACCTGCTGATGATTTAACCACCATATCTGCAGCAGATTTGGGCATTTCAGGGCAAAAGGGAAGAGGATGATATGATGCTTGGTAACCACGCACTAGTGGTTACTATACCAAAAACATGGAGTGTTTTTGATATATGTTGAAATGCGGTCATTTGAAGGAAGATCTCTGAGCACTAGTGCTCCAGAACATGCTCTGACTTCTGCCAGGCAAAGTTGAAAATATACAGCCATTATCTGCAACTGCCAAATTCAGCAGGAATATGGTATATTCAGCAGGAATATGGGTATAACAATGCCTTCTGTGCAGTACTGATACTGTACTCCAGATGCAGCCATACCAAGGAAGAGGAGAGGAAGAGGATCTCTTGATCCACTGGCCACACTTTTTTTAATGCATGCCAGATACCACTGGCCCTCTTGTCCAGAAGGGTGGGCACAGATGCTTTTCCAAACACAGCAGTAATTGTGTGGAGCAGGATTCTCATGGATCCTGCTGGAGCTGCCAGTCATCAAAGACTGATCACATGCAATGCTGTGTCAGGTCAAGTAGGGCTAGCTGCAAAATTGTTAAAGATGGCTTTTGGCATAACTTTATACAGTCTGCAGGTCAGAAATTAGTTCAACACCTCTACAATAAAAAGAAACAATGCAGAAAGGAGTTCAAACATTGAATTATTCAATTTGAGAATGAAAAACAAGACTTACCATGTCTGTATTTAGTAGTTGCCATAAACATAACTGGGAGACCAATGGCAGAAGAAAGAATCCAGTTGCAGACATTGACAATTTTGGCATTTCTGGGGGTACGGAAATCAAGGGCCTTGACTGGGTGGCAAACGGCTACGTAGCGATCCACACTCATGGTGCAGAGCGTAAAGATACTGGTGAACATATTGTAGTAGTCTATGGATATAACAATCTTACAAAGAATCGTACCAAATGGCCATGTTCCCATCAAGTAATTCACACTCTGGAATGGCAAAGTACTTGTTGCTAGTGCATCTGCCAATGCAAGATTGAAAATATAGATATTGGTGGCAGTCTTCATTTTTGTGTATCTAGAAAAAAAAATCAGCAAAGAAAGTGAATGACTACAACTAACAACATTAAACAAAATTGAGGCCAGTGCACCATCTACAAGTTACTTCCACGAAATAACATGCAAAGTGGTATTAAAGATCATCTCCTCTACTGCTCACCTTTAAATCAAATTATCTTGCTCTGGTTTATCTACAATGATGTTTATAAATCAGTCAGACATTACCTAACAGGTATAAGAAGGGTAAGAAAACACTAAATTAATTTGTGCGGAAAGGACATACATAGAAGAAACAATATTATGATTGCTAAAGAACCACTAATGGAGCTGGAAAGAAACGTTTGTGCACACTGGTCACTGTACTAAATGAACAGATTTTGTGTATCTTCTCATGACATGTCAAGAATCAGAACTGTAGTCTACAGCAATGGAGCACACAGCATTTCTTGGTTGTGAAACAGTAATGATTAATTACTTATGGAATAAGTGTGAAAATTCAGGCTTTTGTTTTAAGACTAACTTACCTGCTTGTAATCAAATAATTTAAAAATAATTTGTTATGATGGTTACCATTATTATGGTTACTACTAGGGTTACTACTACCCTGATCTCAGGTTCCTCTACAAACTGGATAGATATTCCAACTGAATGAGAAGACAGATGCTATCGGCCACATGAACTAAGCACATCAATAAAACCACCAGCCCTGTGTGGATGCTTAGCCCCGTTGCTTAAAGTAGGTATGCATGCACTGCTCTGCTCCATAGTGTCGATTTTGACAGGTGAGACTTCAAACTGTTTTGAACTCCCGTCTTAAGTCTGTGGCACTAACACAAAAAACACTTTCTGAACTTTAAATACGTCACACCAACCACAGCTGGGCAGGGACACTTTATATGCTCTGTGTTTGCATTCCTAAATGTGGAATTAAAATTATTCCTTTGTTTCATCCATTTTTTCTTTTCAAGAGCCCTTTACAGTTTCAAGCCCTTGCGTCACATCAGTAGCATCTGACATCCACTATCTGTGAGGATGATATATTTTCCAATGGCACAATGAACATTTCATTCCAAGTAATCACTCCTGGCTAGTTTGTCCCAATTGCTGCTGAGGTTGCTAGGCACTGAGGCCAAAATTTTGGGGGTTAGATGGTTTGCTCTTTTGATGAAATTCCCCTTTGATTCTGCAAAGTAATTGATCAGACATTTTATATTGTATAGACAGATTTGCAAATGGAACAGTCCTTTAAAAAGACCCTTTGGGCAATTTGTTGGAGAAGACAAAGAAGACAAAGTGTAAAATACAGTATTAAATGTTTTCGTTTTTTTTTTTTTTCTCCCTGATCTCTTCAGAACACGAGTCAGCTGCAAAGAGCTCATGACAGGGCTACAAACGGAGCACATCTTTGTAACTTTTTGTCAGGGGTGGGGGAATGCAGATTTCATCCTGGATGCAACTAGATAACTTTTATGATGAACATCTGATGAAGTTTATGCTGTTTTTGTTCTCATCTCATCGTACTGTGCATGAGGATACAAATAACAACCAAGGTGTTCTTTTAAACGTTTTTTGAGTAGACCCGAGCTGCTGCTTGACTGCTGTGTTGAGAACTATGATCTTCCAAGTTTTAAATAAAATCTATTCTTTGAACTTAATGTACCCTGCAAACTTTTCTTAGGGGAGTACTCCCTTTATCCAACAGACTGTAACAGCAATTTAGGAAGACATAGTTGCTACAAGCATCTGTGCCTCTATCTGCTGGGAATAATTTAGAAAAAAAAAATGCAAAGGATTGCAGTGAAGGAGAGGCACAATGAGCTGCAGCTCTAAAAGCGATTTAGGAAGGTGGAGAAAATATTTGGAAGGAAATTTGTTGAAGAACCTCGGAGAAGATAATAAAAATAGGAATATTTCAATAGTGACTTTACTAAGGAAGAAAAAAAGATGCACTAAGCCCTCTGTTATCTCTCTTGCTGTTTATCAAAATTGAATGTGTTTTTTACAGGCCTTACAACAGTTCCTAGATTAGCTAATGCTCCATCCAGAGAGTAAACTTGCATGTTTGATGTCAGTGTGAGCAGACACGCACAGCTTGCTCCAGCCTGATTGGCTCAGGCAGCAATAGCAATGATGGCTGAAGAGTGGCAATGGCTCTGAACCCTCAGAAGCTGAGAAAAAACTAATGCAGACTCAGCACCCTCACCCATGCTACTGGACCATTCTCAGCTCTGTAGTGATCACTGTTTTCACGGCTGGAGCAGAATATACAAGCTTAGGTATGCAGCTCAGTGTCACTGCCCTCATATCTGATTCAGTAGAAATTCTGTCTAGAAATCACATAATCATCAACTCATAATAACGATTTTTTTATCTGCAGTTAAAGCCATTCCAATACTTTAAAGACAGTGCTTGACATAGCAAAAAAATTATATCAGCCAATAGGTAAATCACTTTCAGTTTAGCGTGCTAGAGGAAGGGCAGAGAAAAGCTCTAAATAAATGGAATAGCATTTCTTCGCTGATACTACCATGGGCTTCACTTACTGCTACACAAATTTAAGCTTAAAAGTTCTGAGGCTTTCCATTATTTCACATAGTAATTTCACATAATAGGCTCTGGAGACTATTAATGAAAAATCCTGCTTGATGTACTCTTGTAACCTACACATTTATAATCATGCCCTTCTTACAAAGAAAGGAAGTAGAGCTTTTGTGGTGCTAGAAAGTATTTACCTCCACAATTGCTTCATGAACAAAAGCCTATTGCAATTCACAATATTCTTTTCAGTGACTTTTATGGGATCTGGGTATTTCTCTGTACTGAATATTTCAAGATTTTATAAAGACATTACTGCTAAAAAGTGCATTTTGTTGACGGTTTATTTCTCCAAATAAGTAGATTATCAGTGTCGCTAGGATTTTTTTCTTTTGTATGAAAAAATAAATATTGACAGAACTGATTTTAACAGCATGAAAAATAACAGTCCTGAAAATGAAGCTCTTCAAAGTCTTGATCTTAGCTATTTTTTTACCTTTTGCTAAGTTATCAGTCTATCTATTTGAAGAAGGAGAGCAAACATTTCCATCATACGAACACAGCTGTGTATGTGATGAAATATACTTCAGGGGGATTGGATATTCTATGCAACTGAAGTCATGGGCTACCAGTAAAACTTTCTTATAACACCAACAGCACTGTGTGTATAAATACAATATTTTAAATATTACTGCTTTTGCAGTGCGATTCAAGGCCACCATACAGTGGTGAACATTTATCTCTGGATTGCTCTTAATATTAAAATTAATTATGCTCATCATAATTCAGATACCCACTAGTACACGTTTTCTATCTCGTCAGAGTAGACTTTGTAGCATAAAATACTAATTTGTATTAAGTTTTTTTTCTTAATATATACTATGATATGACAGGTTAGATTCACAGCTTCAAGTCTGTCTAATTCTGTAGGTCATATTCAGCCTTGTCTTATCACTGTTCTATCCAGCAAAGATTTAAAATATATCTGAAGTTTGAAGATTTGAGCTGTAAAGATCCACTCAACTGGAATTTGCTTGCAGTAAGAAGAAAGCAATAAGGAAAAACATGACAATTCTACTGAAATAGTCACTAAGTTCCTGACATTCAAGGAAACGTAAAAGCCTTAGACTGGTAGGCCATGGGCCAGCTGTAGTTTGCAAACCCATCAAAAAAATCATCAAACTAGAATTATTGAATTATAGAACATAAAAAGACCCTGCCTCAATTTCAGAAAGTGTAATAGCACCTTGAGCAGAGGCCATGAGCATCTCCCTGTTTAGCTCCCAGACACACCAGAGGAAAGTGATGTGTGCATCCTTGTGCTTCTCCCTCTTGCTGCAAGACACACTACAGTTCTGTTTCTGTCTTGCCCACTCCAGAAGTGACGTCTTCAGCCGATCACCTTTGGAGGTGATCGATTTTTTGAAAAGTGTTTTAAGCCTCAATGGCTCAAATGAAAAGAACAAATAACATGACTCACATTTTCTTAAAAAGAAAACCAAACAATGCATTACATTTTTAGTACACAGTTGCTTTTTCTAAGCCTAACAGACATTGCTGATATACTGCTATCTGACTCTTGTTCATACCACTTATTGGAGAAGCCATTTACATCCATATGGACTGATGAAACATATTCTCTTCCAGATTTTTAAGTCCTGTAACACATCAGTCTTACACCACATTTGTACCATCTTTGGTGCAAAGAAGGTAGAGATGTGTTCACATTTAGCCCAGTGAATAGAGCAATACATGCCATTACAAATTCATTTGAAAACGGTGAGAAGCAGAAACAAGTCTTTTGCACTTAGGAGACAGGTGGAACAGTGATATATTGGTAACAATGACTTTCAGCAACACAAAGGCATACAAGCTTTTGTTCATCCAAAGCTAATTGGGAGACAATTGATCTATGTACAGTGCAAAATATCTGAAAACCTAATTAATTACAGGAGATTTATTGCAGAAAGCAGTCGTTCATGAATCTGGCTTGGCTGTTCAAAGACACAAGGGCCAGCAATTAGGTCTTGCATTCAGACAACCCGACATAATTCTTGTTGATTCTGGATGAGATTTGGTTAGCATTTAAATTCATATTCTTCTTGCATAAGTGACTTGTTAAACAAATGAAGAATCATTGTGTGCATGCATTAGATTTGTTGAGGTCTCCTTGGGTGGAAAGATTAAGACATGTGAAGCATGACTAGTTGAACTAATTTAAATGAACATTTATTTCCATGGCTCTTCAGGTACATTTTCTATATGCAATCCAAAAACAGAAAGAAAAACTGTTCTTTTCATGTGTGCTTTCATAAGATATCTAGTACTTTCAGTTTTTACTGGACAACAGTTCACGCTGGTCTGGATAACTCTTTCTTTCCTCAATTAATCCAATGAGTATGTTTGACTCCCAGCCATAACCTGGAATGTACCTTTGGTCTCATGTAATAGAACTAACTGATGGCCATCCTGTCTAATTTTCCT